ATCACTCTCACACAGTCACACTTAGTGCGCCAGGTCCTTTAGAGGTTCGGTCTTAAGTTCTCCTCCGCACAGCCCACACCTTTGCCAGTAGATCACATGCTCTCTGATCCAGTTCTTGAGGAGTCTGTAGAGCCCAGTGGTCCTTACGTAGAGTCTGTAGAGCCCAGTGGTCCTTACCTCATGTACCTGATGACTTGCACTCGTCCAGATCTCGCATACCCTCTCAACATCCTGGCTCACTTTGTGGCCAAAGGCAAACACCGACCACAGCACTGGTCGGCCGCTAAGAGGGTTTTGCGTTAACTAGCAAGTACATCAGGCATGGGGTTAGTGCTTGGACGATGTAGGCCAGTGGTCCTTACTGGGCACACTGACGCTTCTTGGGCAGATGACGCTGAGACCCTCAGGTCCTCCCAGGGCTACTACTTTAGCCTTGGTTCAGGGGCCATCTCGTGGAGTTCCACTCGCTCCTCGTCTGCTGCCCAGTCTAGCTGTGAGGCTGAGATCTACGTCGAAGCCGTGGCGGCACAGGAGCTCCGCTAGTTGACCTTCTTGCTTGCCAACTTAGGTGAGAGGCTTAGCTCTGCCCCGGTCCTGTACGTTGACAACAGGGCCATGATCCTCCTATGTCAGGAGCCCAAACTCGAGGGCAGAGCAAAGCACATTTAGCTGCGGTACTTCCTCCAGCGCGAGCTACAGCAGCGTCGCCAGGCCCGCGTAGTACACTTGGCCTCCGGTGCCAACACGGCTGATATCTTTACGAAGGCGCTTGCGCCTAAAGATCATCAGCGGCACTCCTTATAGCTAGGTCAAGTTCCTGTAGACTCTCACTTGCTAGGACATATATTTAGGTCTTTCAGACTGGCCTTGTGGCTACTCTTCCAGTGGTCGGATTAGTAGTGCCACCCTGGTTTGCTTTTGTCTTGTTTGTACCCTTGGTAACTGGTCTTTGGACCCATGCCTCAGAGGTTGGACTAGTAGTGCCACCCTGAGCTGTGTGTTTGTTCCTCTACACTACCCCTTATCTAGCCTAGGGGGTGTGTCAACTTATACATATGTTGATATGTAAAAGGTATAGGCTAGATAGATGTATGTTGTTAGAGGGTACAGCTCCAACACTATTGACGAATAGGACTATAACTCTCTTGTTCTCCCTTGTTTCTATTCATTCATTCTAGTTGACACAGGGCCATGATCCTCCTGTGTCAGGAGCCGAGACTCGAGGGCAGAGCGAAGCACATCTAACTGCGGTACTTCCTCCTGCGCGAGCTACAGCAGCGTCGCCAGGCCCGCGTAGTACTCTTGGCCTCCGGTGCCAACACAGCTGATATCTTTACGAAGGCGCTTGTGCCTAAAGATCATCAGCGGCACTGTGTACAGCTTGGACTCGTTCCTGTAGCACCTCATTTGCTAGGACCTTCATTGTGTATAACTCTTTATATATTATCCTGACTGGCCTTGTGGCTCTGGACTAGTAGTGCCGCCCTGGTCTTTTTCTTGCCTTGTTTGTACTCTTCTGACTGCCTGCCTCAGAGGTTGGACTAGTACCGTAATCCCCCGTATATAACACCCTATGGTGGATATTAAAATTCACTAAAAATATGATAGGGTCTTAACAGTGGCCCGGAAAAATATAGTGCCCATGTGTTATGTAAAATGCAATTTGAATTTGAGTGTTTTAAGGCTTATACAGCTACCGGTTCTTGTTCAGACGATGTTGGCGATATGAATGCAGTTGCATACGTGTCAAATTCGATATCAGCACGACCAGGCGTGGCCAATCCCAGGCGGCCGTGCCTGCCAGCGGTAAAAATGCAGCCACAGGCTGCCAGCGCAGGGTAAGAACGGCTGACCGTGCGGTGGATGCTGCCAACGCAGCAGACTTGAGGGAATATGCCCTTCCAACTTGGCATATCGAACCTGGCATGCAATTGTGTTTCCGGTTTGCGAAAGACCGTGCGCGCTCCGGGCTGGGGTTCCAACCACGTTTCTTGCTCATCCCTTTCTTACCGCAGCGTTCTTTTTCAGTTCTGCTTTTGTTTCTCGACACAAAACCCGTCACGATGCCCGGGCTCTCTAACAGAGGCTCGGGCACTAGTCCCTCGACTAGCAATCTCCCTTGCAGGTGCTGCCATGGCAGCGCGTACGTTTAGCGGCCTCTCTGTATTGCGCACCCATCGTCCTCTCTCCGGCAATCAGTTCCTACTCCGTCCGTTCTTGTCGATTCCCCCGGCACCACCTGCACCACCTGCTCCTCCCGCTCCACCTGCGCCACCTGCACCTCCTGCACCTCCCGCACCTCCCGCGCCTCCCGCTCCCTCGTCGCCAAATCCCAGGCGTCCGCCTGAATGGGACAACTCATGGCAAGACGATGAGGACGATTTGTACTGGGAGGAGGCTGCCGACGGAGAGCCTGAGCCTCCGCCGACACTTCCTCGAGTTGCTATTCCGTCTTTCCCTCAGCCTAGGCGTCGTCCCAACATGCCTCGCATTAACCGTGATGCCGCACCTCCCTCCCCCAGAAATCGCAGGACGAGGCGCAAAAGAGTCTCACACACGGCGGCCGAGAAGCTCTTCTGGTTGCGCAAGCTTGACGACGACCCTAATCTATCCAACCGCAAGCTCGCAAGGATGGCGGATGTCCAGCCCTGTCAGATTCGCGAATGGAAGAAGAACAAGGTGAAACTGGCGGCGGCTGCTGGCTGCAGGCGTCGTCTCGTCGGCTCAGGGCGCAAGGCAAAGTTTCCCGACATGGAGCGCGAGCTGTACAAGCGCTTCCTCTCCCATCGCGCGCGTGGCTTGGCAGTCTCCATCAACTGCCTGCAGAAGTGGAGTCGGAAGTACATGAAGAAGCGGCACCCTGGAGTCGATTGGCGAGCATCGTCGCGATGGACCTTCCGTTTCCGCACACGCTGGGGTTTGACGAGGCGTGTGAAGACCAAGATGGGACAACGCCTGACATCCGGTAAGTTTCATTTGCTCCGAGTCTTTCCACGCCGTTTTCCTTGCATAATTGACTCTCACTCTTGCGGGTTCTTCCCTGTCTACCTGTTTTTTGTTCTTGATTTTTTTGTGCTTGCAGATTGCGAGGCAAAAGTGGAGAAGTTTTGGGAGTTTGTGCGTCAGATGCGGAAATTGAACTGCTACCCCGACGACTTGATAATCAACGCCGACCAAACACCTCTGTTTCTGGAGATGCCGCAGGAGACAACGCTAGAGGTCCGGGGCTCAAGGACGGTGCACGTGCGCACCGCCGGCTACGAGAAGGAACGGCTGACCGTCATGCTGGCGGTCACTGCTGCTGGACAGAAGCTGAAGCCGTATGTCATATTCAAGCGGAAGACCGTGCCCAATATCCGAGTCCCCCCTGGTGAGTTGAATCTTGTTGCTTGATTGACTCTGTTTATCGTAATCCCCGTCCCATCCGTGTTGTTTTCCTCTTTTTCTTGACCCCGCCTGATATGCTTGTGTCTTTTTGTGTGCAGGCATCGTCATCCGTGCGCAGCCGAAAGGATGGATGGACGAGGAGCACGTGAAGGACTGGATCACAGCAGTGCTCGTCCCGTTCCTTAAGCGAATCCCTGCGAGGCGTGGCGGTCGGGCGAAAGCCCTCGTCGTCCTCGACAGCTACAAAGGGCACCTGACCGAGGGCGTGTCAGCCGCGATGCGCCTCTTCAAGCTCTCCAGGGCCGTGATTCCTGGCGGTTGCACGCCGATCGTCCAGCCACTCGATGTGGCTATCAACCGCTGTGTGAAGGCGCATGTGAGGCGGTCCTACACAGGTTGGTTTGAAGAGGTTGGCTGCGATTCAACAACACCCGCAGGTGAGGTCGATGCCGCTCTGTGCCTGCGTTCCGCGCTGCTTTCATTACGTGTGCTCCGTCGTATTCATGGCCATTCAGACGCTTGCTCTTTTTATCGATTAAGTTTTTCCGACTCTTAAAGACTGCCTTCTCTACCGCCTTATCTCTCTGCGCCCCCGCCAGGAAACCTCAAGAAGCCCCCCGCGGAGGTGGTGCTACAGTGGGTCGCAACCGCATGGGAGGCCGTCCCTGCTGAGCTCATCCGAAACGCCTTCAAAACCTGCGGCATCTCCACCGACATTAATGGGACGGAGGATGAACTCATCCTCGCCCATATGAAGGACAAGTCAGATGTGGAAGTGATGGATGATGTGCACGCGGAAATGGAGGAGAGCGGCGAGAAAAACCCACTCTACGAAGCAGACTTCGTCGAGCCCGCCGCAGACGAGCTGTCCGAAGATGACGACGACGACGACGACAGCGACGTGCCCCAAGCTGCATCGACGGCATCCGGCTCAGCCGAGGTAGCAGAGTCCTCCGCTATGGCGGAGGCGCGTCTGACGGCAGCAGCAGCAGCTATTGCAGCAACAGCGACGGCCTCGACAGCAGCAGCAACAGCAGCAACGTCGGCAGCAGAAACATCTTCGACCAGTGATGACTCCTCTGAGATGGCGCCAGCGGCAGAGGTGCTTGCTGGGCTCGCGGCCTCCAACTGGACAGACGACTATGACTGGGATGACATAGCGTCCGACGATGACGACGTGGAGGCGTGGCACGCTGGCGACGAGGACGACGAAGATGATGAGGAGTAGGTATTAGACTGATTTCTGACTGGGCTTGAGCCCCTCTAGATCTTGCAGTAGTGTTTAGATGTAGCTTCAGTAGCTAACTCTTGACTAGAATTTGAGGCCTGTAAATGCAGCCGTTATAGAATCGTCCATGATGTACTTAAATTCTTAATATTGTATCGATTACACTAGCAACAAGGTGGGGGGTGTTATGTAAAATTCAAGGTCAAAAAAGCGGGTGCTCTCCTAAATGCACCCTATCATAAGCTCTGCCCCGCATAAACCACCCACGGAGTGACTATTCCGGCGGGTGTTATATACGGGGGATTACGGTAGTGTCGCCCTGAGCTATTTGTCTCTCACCAGGCTCTGCCCCTATCTAGTCTAGGGGGTGTGTCAAACATATTTGTGTATGTTTAGTAGACTACATAGGGTCTTGCCATAGAGTGTACAACCCACTAGCTATATACCCCTATATACTCTCATTCTAGTCAACTTTCTAACTCTGAGAGTATGCACTGTAGTCGAGCCCAGTAAGGAAAAGGGAATTTCCTTACATAGCTCCCGGCTACTGTTGAGTTCACGTTTCGACACACAGATATGGTATTCAACAATACCAGTGCACTTCTGAATGCCTAGGAATCTCACAGGTGCAAAATAAATATGCCCACAGCCCACTGTCATGGTGCACATATGGCACGTGCTCCATACTCTGCCCCTAGCTCAGATTGTTTCACCATCTGGTGTGTCTTCCGCTGCGCTGGACGTATCACCACCAGCCGCTGCCGGCAAGTCTACATTGGGTGTGACAGCTGCAGCAGCAGCAGCAGCAGTAGCAGCACCAGCAGAACCACCAGAGATCTTGGCAAGGGTGGCGGGGTCGTTGAGGGGGGCTTTGGGGCAGGCTTGGGGGTTGGCAGGCAGGAGGAGGGACTCGTGGATGTAGGCCACCTCGATGCAGATGAGGCACAGTGGGTTCGTCTCCACGTGGAACAGCCGGTACCCCAGACTCTCAAACGTGTACAGCAGCGCCAGCATTGCCTTCGTGTTCGTGATCCTGCCACGTGCATCAGGGCCGCCAGCGAAGGGGGGGGGGGAGCAGATGGGACGGAGGGAGGGGGGGGGGAAGAATGGAAAGAGAAGGGAAGAACGAGATTAGGAGGAGCATAGGCGGAGGGTGGGCGGCCAAAAGAGGGTGGAAGGTGAGAGATGCAGGCGTGGTGGATAAAGGATAAAACTGGAAAGAGGAGAGGGGACGTACTGGTGCAGTTCCATGAGCACTTGGCCGAACGGGAGCACGCCGCCGTTGCTGGCGAGGGCGGCGGGCTCGGAGCCGTAGGCGCGGGCAATGTCGCGGACAAAGGCGACCTCGCAGCCCTCGCAGTCGATCTTGAGCACGTCGACGTACGAGTGGTTGAGGAACGCCATGAGCTGCGCCAGCGTCCTGAAGTCGTACGTGGGGTTCTGCTTGTGGTAGTACGCCAGCGACTCCTCGCCCGCCACTCCGATGGCGTGGAAGTGCAGGAAGGGCAGCGAGCGCATGTGCGCCTGCTGGGCCGCCGAGATGAACGGGTCAAACGTGAACGCCTTGGTGCGCACCGACTCCGCCATGCCCTGCTCAAACGCAAACTGCTCGTTGCTGCCCACACTGGGGATGGGAACGTGAAGGTGGCATGCACACAGGGCATCACAGGTGGAGAATGAGACATCACGACGGAAGATCTCCCAGCATGTGAAGATATCATGCAAGTGAATGTGGAGGCACTGGAAAGGAGGCCGTACCTGTAGACCAAAGGCTGCTTCTGCAGGGCAGAGGCTATCATGCACACCCACTGCAGACACAGGTCAAGAGACACACACAATGATGAGTCTTGGGGCTCAAGATTTAGGGTCATCGAACGAGGTTGAGGAGGCTATGAGTAGCGTGATGTTAGGCAGAGCATCAGTCAGGGGCGAACAGCAATGCCTGGTCCTTCAGCAGACCAATGAGGGTGCGCGCTGACCTTCCCCCCGTCGCCCCACTCGCCGATGCGTTCCTCATAGGGGCACGGGTAGAGCGGCACGTAGATGAGCTCCTTCATCTCCGCCAGCGACAGCGTCAGGGGCTGCTCCGCCCCTAAAGCGGCCCGCCGCAGCGCCAGGTTCACCTGATTGTGGAAAAGGGGAGGAGCAGAGGAATGAGGACAATAGGAAGGGTATGCGTACAGAGCTAAAGTAGAAGTCGTGCAAACATAGGATGGAAATGCACCAAATAAAGGAGTGAAATCAAAGCGCTATGCATCCCAAGATAGAAAAGTGGAGAAACTCGGCAAGGAGTGCAAACCTGGAATGCAGATTCTGCCTGGCACAGGGCAGTATCGTCAATCTGCTGGTGGTCGGGGTACTTGAGACCGGAGGTGTCGACGGGGCAGTCGGCGGGCTTGGGGGGCTGCACGAGGGAGGCGTGGATGTAGGCCACCTCCAGGTGGCCGTTGGCCTTGGTCTCCACGTGGAACAGCCGGTACCCCAGATTCTCCAGCGTGTACTCCACCTCCAGCATCTGCCGCGTCTGCTGGATACTGCACCGTGTTATGTAGAGAGGTGGGAAGGGCACGAGAAAAATACAGGAAACAAAGATGATCTGGACAAGATGCACTGTTCGGAAATGAGGCCGATTACACGTGGGCACATGGAAGGACAGCTTACCATCACCGGGTCCTCGGGTAACCAAGAGGGCATAGAGCTTCTGCAAAGAAGGGTGCACTTGATCACAAAAGCCACATATCACTTACTTTGCCAGCAGCATCATGATTTGTCCGAAGGGCAGGAGGCCTCCTGAGCGGGCGAGGCCGGTGGCGGGGTTGGAGCCGAAGGAGGAGTTGAGTTGGCGGATGAAGGCGAGCTCGCACTCCTGGCAGTCGAGCCCCACGTACAGCACGTCCACGTAGCTGTGCTTGCCAGCCGCGAGCAGGTCTGCCAGGCTCACGTCGGACGCCTTGGCGTCCTTGGCCAGGGCCAGCCCCACCTCGTGGTACTCCACATGCGCCAGCGCCCTCACTGCCGCCTGCTGCGCCGCCGACAGCGACGAGCTGAACACATGCGGCCTCGTGTGCAGAGCTATGGACGCTGCCAGCTCAAACCCATAGTCCTCGCTGTCACGTACGCTGATGGTGCAGGGGACAGAGAGAAACGAAACACAGAAGAGCAGAAACGACAAGGGTGAGGAGCGAAAGAGGATAAAAGGAGAACAAGGCTGGAATAGGGAAAACGGGTGTGGACGGACGGGGAAAAAGGAGTGGAAGAATTCCGTTAGCTGAAATGGCAAACAAGACGCACTGAGTGCTGGGTTTGAGGCACACCTGTAAACAACTGGTGCTGACTGGAAGGCAGTGGGGGCCATGCATACCCACTGCGGGAAGTTGAGGTGTGAAGGGGGAGCAGAGCAGGAGAGGTGGAAGCAGATGAAATATGCAGGCATCACGAGTGAAAGTGTGAGCACACGATGACGATTCACAGGAAGAGAAACAAACAACGCCCGATCCACATTCAATGCAAGCCCTTCAGTGTCTGACCTTGCCGCCTTCCCCCCAGGGCCCCAGGCGTTCCTGGAAGGGGCAGGCGTAGAGCGGCACGAAGATGTTGTTCAGCATGTCGGGTGCATTAGTGATCAACGGCTGCGATGCGTTGCACGCCACCGTGCGCAGGTGCGAGTTCACCTGGGGGGCAAGGCAACATCAAGAAAGCAAAGGCGGAAATCAAAGTAAGAGACAGACAAAAAGGCAGGGCAAGAACAGAAGCAAGTCATCGGGTCATGAGGTACCCGGGGAAGGGGGGTGGGTTTGGGGAGGGAGAAAGAGGCAAGTTATTGGCAAGAGGACAGCGAAACAGGAGAGTATAAACTTGCAGACTACAGCAAGCGCAGGAGGAGGCAGGATGTGCATCCTGAAGCTGCAAGTGGAGGGCGTGGCTAAGCACAGGGTGTGTGTGGCTCACATAATAGGAGCGGTCAGCATGGCAGAGGGCAGCACCCTCCACATGGCTTGTATCCCCCAGGGGCTCCATCCATGCAATGTCAGTCGTCGCCCCACTCGCAACACCGCTGCTGCTGCTGCTCTCTGCGCTGCTGCTGCTACTGCTGCTCTCTGCACTGCTGCTGCTACTGCTGCTCTCTGCGCTGCTGCTGCTACTGCTGCTCTCTGCGCTGCTTCTGCTACTGCTGCTCTCTGCACTGCTGCTGCTACTGCTGCTCTCTGTGCTGCCGATGCTGCTGCTGCTGCCAGTGCTCTCTGCGCTGGCGCCGCCGCTGGAGCTGCTGCTGCCGCTCATGCTGTTGAGTAGGCTCATGGTGTTTCCTGTAGACTCTGCGCTAGCAGCACCTGGATCAGACAGGCTCAATCCGGAAGTAATCGCACTGCTGGTGCCAGTGCTCACATCAGGCTCTAGAGGGCTCTTGGCACTTGCATCAGGCTCAGCAGCATCAGTGCTGGTGGTAGCACTGGCAGCATCAGCAGCACTGACCCCAGCCTCTGCCACCCCCTTGCCTGGCACTGTTACCTCTTCTCCCAAAGGTGTCGTCTCCTCTGCTTTCTCGGCCTTTTCCTCTGCGTCTCCCAACCCCGTTTCCAGAGCAGGCTTCTCCTTGTCTCCCTCTACGACATCGGTCACAGGAGCAATGGCCCCGCCTGTCGCATCACTTGCCTCTGTCTCTCCTGCTGCTGGCGCTGTTGCGGCCTCAGGTTCCTGCACTGCAGCTGGCGCTTCCTTTGCTGCTGCTACAGTGCCCAGGTCTGCAGCATCGGCCCTACCAGCACCCCCGCTGCCTGCGATCTTAACAAGGGTGGCGGGGTCGTTGAGGGGGGCTTTGGGGCAGGCTTGGGGGTTGGCGGGCAGGAGGAGGGAGTCGTGGATGTAGGCCACCTCGATGCAGATGAGGCACAGTGGGTTCGTCTCCACGTGGAACAGCCGGTACCCGAGACTCTCAAACGTGTACAGCAATGCCAGCATCACCTTGGTGTTCGTGATCCTGCCAGGGTGGACAGGGGAGCGCGAGCAGGCATGAGGACCAGTAGGGATGCAAGTGCAGTGAATCAAAGGCGGGTGGAGGGCGAGGGAGGGAGCGAGGGAGGGAGCGGGGACGTACTGGTGCAGTTCCATGAGCACTTGGCCAAACGGGAGCACGCCGCCGTTGCTGGCGAGGGCGGCGGGCTCGGAGCCGTAGGCGCGGGCAATGTCGCGGACAAAGGCGACCTCGCAGCCCTCGCAGTCGATCTTGAGCACGTCGACGTACGAGTGGTTGAGGAACGCCATGAGCTGCGCCAGCGTCCTGAAGTCGTACGTGGGGTTCTGCTTGTGGTAGTACACCAGCGACTCCTCGCCCGCCACTCCGATGGCGTGGAAGTGCAAGAAGGGCAGCGAGCGCATGTGCGCCTGCTGGGCCGCCGAGATAAACGGGTCAAACGTGAACGCCTTGGTGCGCACCGACTCCGCCATGCCCTGCTCAAACGCAAACTGCTCGTTGCTGCCCACACTGGGGCAAAAAAATCCGAGGGAACAGGGGAATTACAAAAAAACAGTTAGTCCCAGCTTCAAGCAAGAAGTCCCAGCTTCAAGCAAGCATCCAAGCTAGGTGTTAATTGCTTTTGGTGCAACACCAATGAAAACCATGAGGGAGATTCAATGACGGTAGAGGACTAAATGAATGAAAAGAGAGATGGGAAGAGAAGGAGAACGAGAGAGTACCTGTACACGAGGGGCTTTGACTGTAACGCTGTAGGGATCATGCAGATCCACTGCAAGGGGAGGAACAGGGGTGGATGGATCATGGAGTGAGGTTTGGCAATAGGTGTTGGATAAGAAGCTGTTAGTGGTAAATGCAAGTCACAGAATGCACTGTTGGCCCTCGGTGTTTCGGTAAGAGCGAGCATTGCAAAGACGGCGAAAAACAACCCTGGGATGTGTGCTGACCTTGCCCCCGTCGCCCCACTCTCCAATGCGTTCCTCATAGGGGCACGGGTAGAGGGGCACGTAGATGAGGTCCTTCATCTCCGCCAGCGACAGCGTCAACGGCTGCTCCGCTCCTAGGGCGGCCCGCCGCAGCGCCAGGTTCACCTGACAACAGCAGAGGAGACAAATCTCAATTAGATGATGGCTGGAAAAGGAGGGGGGAAGGAGTGGGGAACTGACGGAAATATCGAAGCAACAGCGCATGCGCCAATGCAGTCATTTTCTTACACTCGCCCTTCCTTCCCCCACTTTCGCCACTCCCCAATTTCCCCAAGCAAGTATCATATCGTGAACCAGAAAACTACCTCCCATCATATGGCAAATGCCAATCGACAGTTCTCAGCTCAGGTTCCCTCCTCCTTGTAGCCCGAGTCCCACCTGATAAGTGGACTCAGCGTGGCACAGCGAGGCATCGTCAATCTGCTGGTGGTCGGGGTACTTGAGACCGGAGGTGTCGACGGGGCAATCAGCCGGCTTGGGGGGCTGCACGAGGGAGGCGTGGATGTAGGCCACCTCCAGGTGACCGTTGGCCTTGGTCTCCACGTGGAACAGCCGGTACCCCAGATTCTCCAGCGTGTACTCCACCTCCAGCATCTGCTGCGTCTGCCCTATGCTGCTCCACATGGTGCCACCCCACCAAGCCAAACACACACACGGACAGGAACCCACTCCCGTCATCGGTGCCATGCAAGCCGTTCCAGTGTCGTCTCACCATAAACACACACAAATGCAGATGCACACACACACGCATGCACACACGCCCCCCCCCCCCCCCTCTCCCCACCCCCCCACCCCCACCACCAACTTACACATACATACACACGCACATACAATGCACAGACGCACGCACACACACACACACATACACACACGCACGCACTATGCATACGCAAAAGCACACACACACACACACACACCCACGCACGCATGCACACACATGCACACGCACATGCACAGTGCATGCACACACGCACGATATGAGGAGTCAGATTAAACTCTGTACCAATAGATTGAGAACATAGCCTGCTAGGCTACTTTGCATTAGGTGTACACCCATATTGCCTGTACATTTCTGCTGGGGTGCCAATCCAAACCGTTCGTGGTTTGAGCCCCCAAGAACTCTGACCACAATTGTTGGCGACCAATTGTGCCTGGGCTACCCAACCACTTTTGGTTTCCCCACACCACTTTTGGAGTTCCCAACACTGTTGGTCCAGTTCCCCCTCCACACTTTCCATAACAGTCCTTGATTCCAGATCATACGTGTGCTCCTCAGCTCTCTTGAGAAGCTAACTTTTAGTTTTGAAGACATGCAGCAGGAAGCATGCATGCATGCACCATGGGACTCACTGGGTGAGCAGCATCATGATTTGTCCGAAGGGCAGGAGGCCTCCTGAGCGGGCGAGGCCGGTGGCGGGGTTGGAGCCGAAGGAGGAGTTGAGTTGGCGGATGAAGGCGAGCTCGCACTCCTGGCAGTCGAGCCCCACGTACAGCACGTCCACGTAGCTGTGCTTGCCAGCCGCGAGCAGGTCTGCCAGGCTCACGTCGGACGCCTTGGCGTCCTTGGCCAGGGCCAGCCCCACCTCGTGGTACTCCACATGCGCCAGAGCCCTCACTGCCGCCTGCTGCGCCGCCGACAGCGACGAGCTGAACACATGCGGCCTCGTGTGCAGCGCTATGGACGCTGCCAGCTCAAACCCATACTCCTCGCTGTCACGTACGCTGATGGTGCAGGGGACAGAGAGGATAAGAGCGCAAAAGTGCAGAGACCATGTGGTCGAGGGAGTGAATGAGGAGAAAAGGAAAACAAGGCGGGAATTGGGAAAAAAACGGGGTGGACAGGGAAAAGGGAATGGAAGAATTCTGATACCTGTAGACAACAGGACTGGCCTGGATTGCTGATGGCACGTTGCATATCCACTGGAGAGAGGTATGGGGGTCGGGAGAAGGGAATAAGGATGATAATAAGTGACCAGAGCACACAACGTTTGCCAATGGGGAATGGAACAGCATGCTACGCCAGAATTCATTGATGTTCACATGTTCATGCTTATCATCCCTGATCTGATCACTGTCCAAATGAGCCAAGACCAGCTGCCATCCTTCGCTTCCCAAGCCCTTCAGTGTCTGACCTTGCCGCCTTCCCCCCAGGGCCCGAGGCGTTCCTGGAAGGGGCAGGCGTAGAGCGGCACGAAGATGTTGTTCAGCATGTCGGGTGCACTCGTGATCAGCGGCTGCGATGCGTTGCACGCCACCGTGCGCAGGTGCGAGTTCACCTGGGAGTTAACGAGGGACAGGAGGCGGGGGATGGGGGGGTAAGGGGAACAAGATTCAGGGTTGAGGGGTTGGGGGAGCATGAAGATGTGAGACTGAGAATCAACAAACGTGAAATTGAAATGAAAATGATGACTCGGCCAGAAATGCACTTGCAGAGAGAGGCACACGTCAGTGATTCCTTGAATATGCAGAATGAGAGTGTTTTAGCAGCAATCCTTCAGTGTTTGAGTGACAACCTTCGATTTCGCACCAGATAGGAGCTAAGCTGGCTGGATCAGAAGAGCACGGCTTCCTTACCCAGAATGACTTCTCTTCGTGGCACACAGCGGCTCCTTCCACTTGTCTTGCCGTAGGAAGGGCTTCTATCGTGTACTCCTGGCCCGCTCCACCACCACCACCACCAGATCCTGCATCCCCGCTTGCCGATGTCCCGCTACTGGATTCACTGTGCGCTTGACTCGTCGCTCGGTCGCCTGCAGGACTGTTTCCGCGGAGAAGGCCAGCCGCTCCATTTCCGGTTGCCGATTCATCCGTTAGGGCGGCGCCTGCTGACTGACCCGCACCTGCGTCTATACCGTCGATTCCCGATCCGTCAACGTTAAGCATGTTACCACCAGAAAGGATATTGTCCTGCGAATCAGATGGATCAGTGTCTGTCAATGCGGTTGCAAATTCATCAGGCGAGATGTCGTGGGTCTCCGACTGCAAGACGACTGCGAGAATGAAGGCCAATGCGACCATCGCTGGGATTGCGATCTGAAGAATGGACTTGTATCGTTGCCACGCGACTGCAAGCTTGTTCCATAGTGGATGATTCGCCATGGTTGTATGTCGACACGAAGACTCCTCGCCGCGACGATGTGTTGCAAGGTATCGCGTGCGAATGTCTGTCGAGTCACGAAAAAACGTAGCTGCAGCAATCTAAAAAACTCATAGGAGATGTGGTAGTCACGAGAAACGGGAAGAATCCGATTTCATTCACTAGTGGTGTTCAGAATGTCATTGTTCGCGATCAGCTCTGAAGCAAACCAGATACCGTCACAACAATAGCCGTTAGGCAAGGAGCACCAAACCTCCAGGTGGCTCAAGGGGGGGTGCATCAGGCTCTCAATGGTCGTTCTAGGCAGAACAGCATTGAAGAGTGCCTTGAAAACGTTGTGGTTGCGTTGAGAGGGGCCATCAGGATCAACAACAAAGCATCAGGATCAGGACTCAGCTAAGATGGGGTTGGTAGGTTGGTGGGTGATGCTGATCAAGCCACCTGATATCACAAGCTTCAAACACAGACCTTTCGGGTGCATTAACATTTGTATACAGGGCAAACCTATCACATTGAAGAAAATGGAGCTCGAAAACGCTATACAAAATTATCAATATCCTAATCATATCAGGTGTGCATCGAGGAGGGTAATGTTCAGCCTCCACTGTGCGAGGAAGAAACTGAACATAGCAAAAAAAAATCGCATACCTAGTAAACCTGAAGGAATTATCAGAAATGAAAATTGAATGATAGATAGAGTGAGAGTACACAAAGATATACCTAAGTGTTGTACTCTCTAAGAGGCGACCCTATACAGTCTATACAAACATGACAAATACACATGTTTGACACACCCCCTAGACTGCATAGGGGAATGCCCTAAACAAACAGCTCAGGGCGGCACTACTAGTCCAACCTCTGAGACAAGGGTCTAAGAGACCAGTCAGAAGGAGTACAAACAAGGCAAGAACAAGGGCAGGGCGGCACTACTAGTCCAGCCACTGCGAGAGGACACAAGTCCAGTCTGAGTATACGTATAAAGGACAGTACAAAGTCAAGGTCCTAGCAAGTGAGAGGCTACAGGAACTAGACCAAGCTGTACACAGTGCCGCTGATGATCTTTAGGCGCAAGCGCCTTCGTAAAGATATCAGCCGTGTTGGCACCTGAGGCCAAGTGTACTACGCGAGCCTGACGTCGCTGCTGTAGCTCACGCAGGAGGAAGTACCGCAGCTGAATGTGCTTCGCTCTGCCCTCGAGTCGAGGCTCCTGACACAGGAGGATCATGGCCCTGTTGTCAGCGAACAGGACCGGGGCAGAGCTAGGCCGCTCACCTAAGTCAGTGAGCAAGAAGGTCAGCCAGCGGAGCTCCTGTGCCGCCATGGCACCAGCGTAGATCTCAGCCTCACAGCTGGACTGCGCTACAGACGAGGAGCGGGTAGCTCTCCACGAGACGGCAGTTGAGCCAAGGCTGAAGCAGTAGCCCTGGGTAGACCTGAGCGTCTCAGCGTCGTCTGCCCACGAAGCGTCTGTGTGTCCAGTAAGGACCACTGGCCTGCGTCCTCCTAGCACTAACCCCATGCCCGATGTACTAGCAAGATAACGCAGAACCCTCTTAGCGGCAGACCAGTGCTGCGGTCGGTGTCTGCCTGTGGCCACAAAGCGAGCCAGGATGCTGAGAGGGTATGCGAGATCTGGGCGAGTGCAAGTCATCAGGTATATGAGGCAACCCACCAGCTCTGCGTAGGGGCCGCTGGGCTCTACCAACTCCTCAGACACTGGAGCGGAGAGTCTGTGGTCTACAGGCAGAGGGGTGGGCTGTGCAGAGGAGAACTGAAGGCTGAACCTCTGAAGGACCTGGCGCACCAAGTGTGAATGAGTCACGGTGATGGTGCGCGCAGCTCTGTCCCTGGAGATCTGCAAGCCAAGGTAACGGCGCAGTTCTCCAAGGTCAGTGCACGTGTGTCTCTTCAGAAGCTCTGCCTTCACGGAGGCCAGTGCGTCCCTGTCTGCTGTGGCAAAGACCAGGTCGTCGACGTAAACAAGGATGTAGAACGGAGTCTGGCCAGCACGAACGAAGAGTGAAGGGTCTGCGGAAGACGGAAAGAACTGCAGGTCAGCAAGGGTAGCACGAAGAGTGTCGTGCCACTCACGAGGAGCCTGGCGCAGGCCGTAGACGGGGCGCCGCAGGAGCCACTGGGTCCCAGGAGGGAAGGTGCCAGTAAAGCCCGGAGGGCGACGCAGGTAGACCTGCTCGTGTAGGCTGCCCTGAAGGAAGGCAGTGGAGAAGTCGAGGGAGTGAAGCTCGTAGTCACGCTGGGCCGCAAGGTGTAACAGAACCCGAAGAGTAGTCATCTTCGGGGTCGGAGCGAAGGTCTGGAAGAAGTCCACCCCCTCGCGCTGACTGAAGCCTCTAGCCACATAGCGCGCCTTGAAGACCGGCGGCTCTCCAGGAGGGCGCTTCACCTTGAAGAGCCAGCGGCCATCGACTACGTTCACCCCAGGCGGGGGAACTGCGTCGACAAAGGTGCCGGTGGATCTCCAAGATGCCATCTCCTGCTCCATGGCAGCTAGCCACTGAGAGGCCCGGGGTCTCGAAACCGCCTCAGCGTAAGTGCGAGGGGTCGGGATGTCGAAAGCGTCTGGGTCACCCTCAGGGACTAGCAGCATGGAACAGAGATGGGGAGCAGCCTCGGAGAGGAAAGCAAGCTCGAACTGGCGGTCCTCCAGGACGTCACTGCCAAGGGCAGAAGCACCCCCGACAGACGGAGGACAAGCAGGGTCAGAGACCAGAGCGGTGGCGTAGTCAAGGCGGCGGGTAGAGGCGAAGTCAGCGACAGCAGCGACAAGAGTGTCAAGGCACGGGACCGGAACAGACGGGTCGGTAACGAGAGAGGCAAGGACCCGAGAAACAAGAGGACGAGCGGCACGAAGGTAGTCAGACAGCGGGGGGGGTGAAACAACAAGGGAGGACGGAGGAGGCGACGGCAGAAGGGGAGGACGAGACGCGTGGGAACGAAGCAACATAGGGTGGGAGCGCAAGACAGGCGAGGCAGGACGAGCACGGGAGGGGCGGTGAGACCAGACGTGCGACGGAGGAGTCGGGTCAGGAGACAGGGGAGGGGACACAGGAGGGGAACGAGGGGGGAGACGAGCCGGGGACGAGTCCGGCGGAGGAAAAACAGAGCTGGACGGGAAGAGGAGGAGACGATGGGGGAGGAACCGACGCAGGGTCGGGGGACGGAAGGCCGAGCAGGCGAAGGGCGGACACCGGCGAGGACTGCTGCTGCGGCGGCACAACGGCGACACCTGGACCGCAAGCTGCTCCTCGGCTACCACCAGCACTCTCCACACCCGCACCCCCAGAGGGACCACCCCCAGGGCGACCGGGACGAGCACCCCCAGAGTCAGCGAACGGGTGCGGCGACGGCGGCGGCGGCGGCAGCGACAACGACGGCTGCAGGCGGTGGAGGAGGGGACTGGGAAGGGGACGCCAGGGGAGGGGCGGCCGGCGAGGACTGCACAGGAGGGCCACCAGAGTCAGAAGACTCCCCAGCCGGGTCCACCGACAGAAGGGGGGTGACGTGGGACACACCAGAGGGGGCGGGACGGGGAGGAGGAGGAGGAGGGGCAGGGTCTACCGGGGAAGGAGTGACCAGGAACAAGGGGGGGGTAACCGGGGGACCACGGTGGGGGAAGCGACGGTAGTAGGAAACGGACTCGTCAATGGTGACGTCGCGAGAGTGAAAGAAGCGGTGAGACGGCGGGTGGTAAAAGTGCCAGTCGGACGCGTCAAGGGGAAAACCGAGGAAGATGCAGGGAAGGGTGCGGACAGTGAGCTTGTCCGTGCCGGAGGCACGAACGTGAGCAAGGCAGCCCCAGACGTGGAACGCAGACGCGTCACCAGGAGACCCAGTCCAAAGACGCGTCGGCGAAACCTGCGGCTGCTGAGGGTGCGGCCACAGGTTAAGCTGGTGAGAAGCGTAGCGCACAGCGAACGGCCACAGAAAATGGGGTGCACCGGCATGGATCATGGAGGTGCGAGCCACCTCCATGACCAAACCGATGCGTCGCTCAGCGACCCCATTCTGCTGTGGGGAGTCCGGTAGGGTGAACGTCTGGGTGATGCCCTCCGCACGACAAAAGCGACCAAGGACACCTGAGGCAAACTCGCCACCACGGTCTGAGTGAAGACGCAAGACAGGGAGACCGCGGTGGACACGCACAGAGACAAGCCAAGGGATGAGAGCGCCAGGCACGTCGGCCTTGCGCTCCAGGGGAAAGACTGTGGTGTAACGAGTGAAGTCGTCGACAAGCACAAGGAAGTAGCGCTCTCGACGCGGCCCAGGGACGGGGGCGAGGCCCCAGACGTCCAGGTGCAGGGTCTGCAGCGGCGCGGCGGTAGGGGGAAACGAGGTGGAGTGAGGGGCACGGCGAAGCCGACCCTCGACACAAGGCGTGCAAGGGGGGGCGGGGGAGGAGGGAAACGCGGGGAGTGAACCTGGGAGACCAAGGACAAGACCGTGCTGGGACATGTGACGCAGACGCGGGAGCGCAGGGTGACCTAGGCGGTGGTGCCACAGGAGGGTCGGGTGAGTGAGGGAGCGACAGGAGCAGGCAGCAGCAACCTGGGTAGACATTGCCACCTAAGGGGGCGCTCCAGCCGGGGGGGGCACGGTGTCAAGAGTGAACAGGCCGGACACCGGGTCCCGGGGGAACGTGGACAGGGGGGCACCAGTGGCGGCCTCGGTACAGACAGCATACCGCTCGTGACCAGGGAACGTAGTGGTGACGCCAAGGTCCTGGAGGCAGCCGACACCAACTAGGTTCCTGGAGAACGAGGGGATATGCAGACCTGTGAGAGTGCCCGAAGGAACCGCCGGACAGGGAAGGGTGGTGGAACTGCGGGCGACTACCGGACCGCCGGAGGGGTCAGCAAGAGAAACGGCAGCAGGAACAGGAAGCGGCGTCAGGGTGGTGGAGTCGCGGAAGAAACACCGAGAAGCGCCAGAGTCCAAGGTGAAGGAAAGCGAAGCAGAGGCGGCTGGCGACGGAACGACGGCGGAAGCACCAAGACTACACAAAGCAGAGGATCCTACGCCTGACGCAGCAGGGGAGGCTACTCTAGGCACACCTACACTAGGCAACAGTCAGTAATAAGCTGGAAGCACACTAGAGTCATCAGCATACATCACATGCAGAGCAGAAACAATGGCATCCATGTCCATATCAAAGATCTGAATCTTACGACTAAGCAAACTGTGCCAGTCCGGGAGGTCCGGCGACGGGCCGAAGCGCTGACGAAAGAGGTCGTCCAGGCGACGAAAACAGCGGGGAGTGGTATGACCGAGCTTACCGCAAACGAAGCCACGGCGAGGACTGGTCTGGATCTGGTACTGACAACGCACGCCTCCCGAACCACCACCCGGCA